CAGATAAACAGGTGGTATCCAGGTAACGGGTAAACAGGTGGTACCCAGGTAACGGAGAAACAGGTGGTACCCAGGTAACGGATAAACAGGGGGTACCCAGGTAACGGAGAAACAGGTGGTACCCAGGTAACGGATAAACAGTTGGTACCCAGGTAACGGATAAACAGGTGGTACCCATGCAACTAACGGATAAACAGGTGGTACCCAGGTAACGGATAAACAGGGGGTACCCAGGTAACGGAGAAACAGGTGGTACCAAGGTAACGGAGAAACAGGTGGTACCCAGGTAACGGATAAACAGGGGGTACCCAGGTAACGGAGAAACAGGTGGTACCCAGGTAACGGATAAACAGTTGGTACCCAGGTAACAGATAAACAGGTGGTATCCAGGTAACGGATAAACAGGTGGTACCCAGGTAACGGAGAAACAGGTGGTACCCAGGTAACAGATAAACAGAACCAACCAAACCTAAACTAAAGGAACCGTGTTGGCTCTACACCTTGAACCAATTTCTATTTATATCCAGGGCACCTTTATCCTAAGCAAAGGACAAAATAAAATTTCATAAATCTAGTGGAATAAAATAGGATTTTACACTGTGATAAATGCTGCAAATAAAAACCTCCCTTATCTTAACCAAAATTCCCTTAAAATGATAAAAACTCACACATTGGTCTCCAAGAAATCTGGCATGTATACATATGACACTGTATCGGAATACGTGTCACAATATGTTCTTCCTGATGAAATATATATCCTGAGGCAAAACAAAACATGATGGATTCTGGTTATCCAACCTTCCTTAATTTTTTGTGCCTACCCTGAAGTTTTTTTGGGACAATTTTCAAGGAAGCACTGTTAAAGTTAAGATTATTCAAAAACTCTAATAACTAAAAATAATGAAATTTATTTCCGACCTACCAGCAAACCTTTTTTAAGATATATAACAGGAAACAAACATGAATTTGTGTTTGACCCGATACACTCAAGGCATATTATGACACTTGTAGCAGGTGTCATATGTCTAACTTGATCTCTATAGTCAAGCTTCCTGCTGTTACGGAAATATTTTGTACCGGTAACTACTGTGTGACATCTGTAGTAAGCCCAAGCTACCTAATTGTCAAAAATTTTACCAGGAATAAACTGTACATTTGACTTATTTATGAAGTTGATATTATATTTACCATATTTGACTTAATTAGGGTACCTGCTTTAATACAAGGGCACACCCAGGGGATTTCAACAAATATAACTTGAATGCTAAATATGAAATTCCAGATTTTTTAATCTCTATAAGTCATCTGGATGGTTTTGTTTATAAGTTAAACAACCTTGTCACCGAACTGTTGATGTATTTAAGTATGAAAACAAAAACAATATTAACCTGGAACATTATCTGATGATAGTGACCAATGTAGTTTTATCAAAAACTTGGCAGACCTTCTTGTTTATACTATGATAAAAGTATAATCAGATCACAAGGTATATATATTTTGTTTGAGGAGCAAAATTCTTTGCGTCTACGAGATAAATCATGTTTCGCGATCACGAGGGCTGGAACTGCCTTTTCAGTCACATATCCTTAGTGTTAGATGCAGATCATCCTTTTATGAATGCAAAAAGGTATTTGCTAAGTTTTTTTCATTCCTACAGATATATCTACCAAAATATTTCTCCTTATAATTTATTTCTCCTTAACTTTGTGTACGACACAAATTAGGCTCACCAGTCTGTAACACCTTGATGACTTATCGCCCTTTCTGTGTATTTATTAAAGTTATTACAATGATTAATTAGTGATTTCCATTTAAGATGGAAATACCTATTGTTATTGTTATGTTTTTTCTTCTTCTTATTATTACTATTATTAGGGATTTCCATTTCGGATGGAAATACCTATTACCTTAAAGCAATATAGCCAAATTGCCCCCTTTTTGCCCCACCATTTGTACAATTTTGAATTCCCACCACCTAGGGATGTTTCCAGTCAAATTTAGTTAAATTCCAATCAGTGGTTAAGAAGAAGAAGTTGTTTAAAGAAATTGTTGACGGACGGACGCCACGGTATGGCATAATTATAACCTCACCTTGGTCCTTCGGACCCGGTGAGCTAATAATATTATTACAAAGGGCAATAACTCTGTAAGTAAATGTCGAATAATTCCCATTTTCGAACTTGTCCCGAGATCTTATTGAGATATGGCTGCATACAAAGTTTCATCAAACTCGATTAATATTTACTCAAGTTATTGTGTTCACAAGGTCCATAAATAATATTATTACAAAGGGCAATAACTCTGTAAGTAACTGTCGAATAATTCCCATTTTCGAACTTGTCCGAGATCTTATTGACATATGGCTGCATACAAAGTTTCATCAAACTCGGTTAACATTTACTCAAGTAATAGTGTTCACAAGGTCCAATAATAATATTATTACAAAGGGCAATGACACACGACGACGTACAAAAGCCTATCACAATAAGTTACCATGACCTATGGTCAGGTAACCTAAAAAGTCAGCCGAGAACAAAATAATTGTGTTTGAGGGTTTTTTCTTATAATAAATGTTATGTGATAAATTGAATCTTACATTCGTGTTCATGCCGTATTTAGTTGATTAAACTCATTCAATAATTTGCAACGACACTCGCTTACAGGCTCGGGCCATATCCAAATATTGAACTCGTTTAATAAATTCAATTTGACATTGATACTCATGTAAAATCATCTATGTGGTGCTAACAGGCACATACATAAAAGTATGCATTACATGTGGTGCTAACAGGCACATGCATGATGGTATGCATTATATGTGGTGCTAACAGGCACATACATGATAGTAGCATTATATGTGGTGCTAACAGGCACATTCATGAGAGTATGCATTATATGTGGTGCTAACAGGCACATACATGACAGTATGCATTATATGTGGTGCTAACAGGCACATACATGATAGTATGTATTACAAGTGGTGCTAACAGGCACATACATGATAGTATGCATATCATGTATATGTTGTGCTAACAGGCACATACAGTGCTAACAGGCACATACAGTGCTAACAGGCACATACATGATAGTATGCATTACATGTGGTGCTAACAGGCACATACATGATAGTATGCACTACATGTATATATGTGGTGCTAACAGGCACATACATGATAGTATGCATTACATGTGGTGCTAACAGGCACATACATGATGGTATGCATTACATGTGGTGCTAACAGGGACATACATGATAGTATGCATTACATGTGGTGCTAACAGGCACATACATGATAGTATGCATATCATGTATATGTTGTGCTAACAGGCACATACATGATAGTATGCATTACATGTGGTGCTAACAGGCACTGGAATTGGGGCAAACAGGTATGCTGCTTAAGGTAGTTAGAGCTTAACATTTGCTTACCAGATTTATGTCACTTTTCTAGCTGTATCATTGTGTGCTTGTAAGGTTAGGTTTGGTTTGTCTGTGTTTTATGTCCTATTAACAGCCATGTTCATTTAAGGACGTGCCAGGTTTTTATGGTGGAGGAAAGCCAGAGTTCCCGGAGAAAAAACACCGACCAACGGCCAGTACCTGCCTGGCGACTGCCCCAGGTAGGTCTCGATACTGCGACCCAATGATGGAGGGCTAGCGGTAGCAGAATGTCAGACGCCTTAACCACTTGGCCACCGTGGCCCGCTTGTAAGGTCCATCTGCTCACTTTGTATCACTTTCATTAATAACTGAGGTAGGAATTCCCACCATATACTCCCCTAGGTAGTATTACATGTATGGAAGTTGACTGGGGCGACCACCAATAACTCAGTATTAAACTCAACTGGCATGTGTGTGTCTTACACTTATCTCCCGCCTAAGAGTTCAGAGGCCCCGCAGTTCAAATCCTGATCATGATCTTGGCCTGTATTCATGAAACCATTCTCATGCTCAACAATGGGTTTTGTGCTCAATTTACAAACTTTCTTTTAACTTGCTTATATCATGCGACACGGTCAGATAGTCAAGTGTGAACATTTAAAACAGAATTTGACTTGAAGTCTCTCCTAAATTCTTCCAAAAATGTTGACAATAAATGTATTTTGTTTAAATAATTAATCACTGGAACGAGAAATTAGACTTGAGCACATAATTTGAGTTTTTAGTATGAGAATGTTTCATGAATATAGGCCCTGGCCTCTGCATTTTTTTCCCTGTTCAATATATAATAAAATTTACATCTGTTACCAAATCCCTAAACCAACATGTCTGTTTGTGGGAATTGGGTCCAGCTTTCAGGAAAAAGGGCAGAAAACGCTGATATTTAGAGATAACCATCATGCGACCAAATTAAGCAGGCTAGTCTACTATGCAGTCATTATGCATCACATAGGAGTAATCATTATATCACGAAGCAATGAGACACGTACCAAAAGCTGAAAATCAATGTTTGGACTCAGAGTCACTCCCCACTACCGTTATTATGATCACCTTGGAGTGTCTTATTTGTATGTGTCCCCTGACCAGTTACTAGACTGATTTAACTGTAATCTGGGTGTACAGTGTTGTAAATAATAATATACATAGCACTGCTGTTTCTCTCAAACTTTAAACTGTCTGAGCAGACCCACACTCCTTTCCATTTTCTGTGGAAACACGTGTTGTTTTTCAGCACGTGTGCATACAGTATTGGACGATGGAGGTCGAAAATCAATAAAACGCTTGATTCGGTGGTAGCAGTATGCTAATTTGACATTTAAAAACTTTTTTAAAACAACAGGAAACTACAGAAACATCAGGAGCACAAATCCAAAACATTACACTTCGTCAATGACTTATTTAAGGTTTTATGAAGCCGGATAAAGTTATTCAGACAATAGTTAATTAATTTGGCGTCTACACATGTTATGGATTATGAAGGATCTGACGAAATTACCGGTGTCCAGATGGTTTTGAGTCATGCACGTTACACGAATCACGTAATGTCTGATCAACTTACCGCTGGCAACAGCAAAATATAACGGTGATAACCCTAAAAAGATATCAGTAGAACCACATCATATCATCAGCTTCCGGTTATCTGTGAAGATTCGAAGTTTCTGTCGTAATATATTTCAGTGAGCTGACTGCTGCTCCGAATGTTTTCATTTAACCGAGTACACGTCAATGATAATGTTTGATAAACACAAAATACTAGTCAAGGAACCAATTGCTGGTAAAAAGATAAATCCGGATTCTTTTCGTTGTTTTACCCTTAGTAAAAGGATTGAGCAAGAATAGATAAAAAAAAAAATTACAATTTACGTGCATCACATACTTTTGTATGGAACCACGAGCACCTTTTTTCATTATCAATTACTTCGTTATTCATATTTTTC